TTGCACTCCAGCCTGGGTAACAAGAGCGAAACTCCGTCTCAAAAAAAAAAAAAAAAAAAAAAAGATGCATGGGAGAGTAATGAATGATTTTAAAGTATCATCTATCCTAACAGATACTTTCCTTGAACAGGGAAAAACAAAATAAGATGTCACCTTCATATAAATGTTTTATGAATCCGACAGGCAATAGGCTAATCCAGCAGACCCCAAACAGATGGACAAGGTTTAAAAGGGTCCCTCATCAACAGTGTTTAGGTTCTCCAGTTATTCACCAAATTTATTTAATCCAGGATACCATTTTCAAATATATATAATACTCTTAGTATTAATATAGATAGGACTTTTTAAACACCATTACCGCATTCATGGTAGCCATTTGCCATTATTTTTTCAATAAAAGAATGGTAAAATTTAGTTCCTGGAGGGGGCAAAGATTGACTCTGGCATTAAAATGGATTTTCATACTCAATGACTAAAGTGTTCCATATGTGTAACCAAGTAGAAATTAGACAAAAATGAGAATTATTGCAAAATCTTTCCAAATTAAATATGAGCGTTTGAGAGAGTAAGTTTCTGAGAGAAGACAAATATTAGAGCTAAAGCTTCTAAAGAATCTGAGCATGCTCTCAGGCTTCAGATGGTAGCAGTACTTTCTATACCTATGCAGCCCTCGAGCCTGACCTCAATCAAGACACCTTCTGCCAAGTCTTTCCATATACTTCCTTTTCACCCATTGCTAATATGTGTGCACAACTTGGCAAGCACACTGCCACTTACCGTCCCACAGAGCTTTGGTCCCACTGTTGGCAAAGTACTTATCACATTACATTAACGTGAGCTTGCAGAGGTCAGTTACCATGTCATGCACATTTCTAAATCCCCAAGCCTGGCTCTTGGCTTTACACTTACTGGTCTTCATCAACAGTTGTGGAATAAATCTAAGTCCATTAGAATTTTCAAAGGGGGAATTTCATTTACCAGACTAAAATGATCAAATGTCTACCATCTCTTCCCAAAAGCCCACTGAAATGATGATAAACAAACTAAGGTCGGGCGCAGTATCTCATGCCTGTAATCCCAGCACTTTGGGAGGCTGAGGCAGGAGACCACTTGAGCCCAGTAACATCAAGACCAGCCTGGGCAAACAGATCCCCATCTCTACAAATTCGCTGGGCACTGTGGTACACACTTGTACTCCCAGGCAGGAGGCTGGGGCAGTAAGCTGTATTCCAGCCTAGGGGACAAAAATTCCATCTTTTAAAAAATAATCACCTACTATCAGGTTCAGGGAGAAAAATTAATTAATTACGTGAAAGGCTGTAAGATTTAGGTTTTTTTTTTTTTGAAGTTGTAAATTAAGGATATGTCCCAGAAAATAAAACGTAAACACAATCTGCACTCCCATGCAACACTGTTCACAACAGCCAAGATTTGGAAGCAACCTAAGTGTCCATCAGCAGATGAATGGATACAGAAAATGTGCTTATACACATGGAGTACCATTTAGCCATGAAAAAGAACGAGATCCTGTCATTTGTAACAACATGGATGGGCTGGGCACTGTGGCTCACACCTGTAATCTCAGCTCTTAGAGAGGCAGAGGTGGGAGGACAGCCTGAGCCCAGGAGTTTGAGACCTGCCTGGGTAATATAGCAAGATCCCATTCTCCACAAAAAGGAAAAAAACAAAAAGACAAAAATAACAACAACAAAATGGAACTGGAGATCATTACGTTAAGGGAAATAAGCCAGATGCAAAAAGACAAACATCACATGTTCTCACTTATGCGTGGCATCTAAAAATCAAAGCAATTGAACTCACAGACACAGATAGTAGAAGGATGGTTACCACAGAGGCTGGGAAGGGTAGTGGGGGGCTAATGGTTAATAGGTACAAAAAAAAAAAAAAAAACCAAAGAATGAATAAGGCCTACTATTTCGTAAGACAGCAGGGTGATTATAGTCAACAATATTTTATTGGCCAGGCACTGTGGCTCACACCCGTAATCCCAGCACTTTGGGAGGCCAAGGCAAGTGGATCACTTGAGGTCAGGAATTCAAAACCAGCCTGGCCAACATGGCGAAACTCTGTCTCTGCTAAAAATACAAAAATTAGCCAAGCATGGTAGCACACACCTGTAATTACAGCTACTCGGCAGGCTGAGGCAGGAGAATTGCCTGAACCTGGGAGGCAGAGGCTGCAGTGAGCCGAGATTGCACCACTGCACTCTAGCCTGGGTGACAAAGTGAGTCTCAAATAATGGTAATATTTAATTGTGCATTTAAAAATAACTAAGAGTATATACATGGGCCAGGCACAGTGGCTCACACCTGTAATCTCAGAACATTGGGAAGCCGAGGCAGGAGGATTACTTGAGCTCATGAGTTTAAGACTAGCCTGGGCAACATGGCAAGACTCCCGTCTCTGTAACAGCCAAGTATGGTGGTGCATGCCCATAGTCCCAGCTACTCAGGAGGCTGAGGTGGAAGGGTGGCTTCCACCCAGGAGGCAGAAAGGGTTACAGTGAGCCAAGACAGCACTGTGTGGTACTCCAGCCTGGGCGCCAGAGCCAGACCTTGTCTCAAAAAAAGAATATAACTGGATTGTTTGTAACATCAAGAATAAGTGCTTGAGGGAATGGATACCCCATTCTCCATGATGTACTTATCTCATATTGCATACCCATATCAAAATATCTCATGTATCCCATAAATACACATAACTACTATGTACCCACAAAAATTTTAAAAAAAAACCATAAACACAAACACAAAAAGATAGAAAGGGGACAGAAAAATTACAGCATCAGCATCAATTAAGGTGATCCAATATCTAACTTACAGAAATTCTTGTTTTGGTTTTATTGTTTGAGACAGTCACCCAGGCTGGAGTACAGTGGCTCAAACTCGGCTCACTGCAGCCTTGACTCACAAGGCTCAAGCAATCCTCCCAGCTCGGCTCTCCTTAGTAGCTGGGACTACAGGCATGTGCCACCATATCCAACTAATTTTCCTTTTATAGAGATGGGGTCCCCCTATGCTGCCCTAGTTGGTCTCAAACTCCTGTGTTCAAGCAATCCTTCCTTAGCCTGCAATAGTGGTAGGCCAGCCAGGAATTCTTGAAAAATAAAAAAAAATAAAATAAAAATCTCAAAGAAATGTTTAATTTTAAAACTGAGCTAAACCTCAGTCTGAAAGGATCCAGGTGGACCTAACACAATAACTGAACAAGGCACATCAAGTGGTAAATTTCAAATTACCAGAGATGAAGAAAAGATCCCAAAAGCTTCCAGAGGTAGAAGAGAAGAGGAAACAAAACAGAGCCTAGAATGACAGTGGAATGCCAGAGATCAGTAGAGCTTATATTCAACTTAAAAAGTTAAAGAGAAGGCCGGGCGCGGTGGCTCAAGCCTGTAATCCCAGCACTTTGGGAGGCCGAGGCGGGTGGATCACGAGGTCAAGAGATTGAGACCATCCTGGTCAACATGGTGAAACCCCGTCTCTACTAAAAACACAAAAATTAGCTGGGCATGGTGGCGCACGCCTGTAATCCCAGCTACTCAGGAGGCTGAGGCAGGAGAATTGCCTGAACCCAGGAGATGGAGGTTGCGGTGAGCCGAGATCGCGCCATTGCACTCCAGCCTGGGTAACAAGAGCGAAACTCCGTCTCAAAAAAAAAAAAAAAAAAAAAAGTTAAAGAGAAAAGAAAGAAGCAATGGTCTTAAAAATTCTAAAGGAAAATTATCTTCAACTAAGAAAACTAAATCCAGCCAAATTATTCAAACATGAGAGTAAAATTAAGACATTTTTAGATATGCAAGGACTTAAAACTGATAGGTTAACCAACGTATTTGGGGAAATTATCATTAAGTTTTTGATAGCCTTGTTGAAGTATTTGGACAAAATTAGCAATAGATGCCAAAAAAAAACAAAAAACAAAAAAACTATGCAAATCTCAAAAACAAGGTAGTTAAACAACAAGAAACAAAAAGCCGCCAAAAAAAGTAATCACAGGCCAGGTGCAGTGGCTCACACCTATATAATCTTAGCACTTTGGGAGACCAAGGCAGGCAGAACGTTTGAACCTAGGAGTTGCAGACCAGCCTGAGCAACATGGCAAGACCATGTCTCTACAAAAAAATACAAAAATCAGCTGGTTATGGCAGCATGTGCCTGTAGTTCCAGGTATTGAAGGAGCTGAAGCTGAAGGATCTCTTGAGTTTGGGAGGTCAAAGCTGCAGTGAGCTGTGATCCCATCACTGCACTTCAATCTGGGTGACAGAGTGAGATCCTGTCTCAAAAACAAAAAACAGAGGCCAGGCACAGTGGCTCACGCTTGTAATCCGAACACTTTGGGAGGCCAAGGTGAGTGGATCACTTGAGGTCAGGAGTTCAAGACCAGCCTGGCCAACATGGTGAAATCCTGTCTCTACTAAAAATAAAAAAATTCATCAGGCATGGTGGCACATGCCTCTAACCGCAGCTACTCAGGTGGCTGAGGTAGGAGAGTCACTTGAATCCATGAGGTGGAGGCTGCATCATGCCACTGCACTCCAGCTGAATGACAGACTCTCAAACAAAACACAAAGTAATCACAATATACTATCTGAACGCAGCAATAAATATTTACCCAATCATAAAAATGTGAACAATAATATTAACTTACCTAAAATTTGTGATATAAATATGATGGAGATTAGGGATGGGAGGGAAGAAGGGAGGGGCTACTAAAAGAGCTAGATCCTCAAGTTCTTTAACAAGAAGTATAAAACTGTCTAAAATTGATAAATTTAAACAAATCAATATAAGCATTTTATTTAGAAATACAGAGATAAATCCTGGCAGAAAGTACTTAATGAGCTAAAAGTGACCATGGGAAGCAAAACTGAAAAGGACAAGGTGAGGCAGGGAGCTACTATTTGTCAGTAATAAGCCTTTTAAAAGCTACTTGATTTCATTAAAATGTGCTTGTATTACTCTGACAAAAATAAATTCATTTAAGTGCTCACTTCAGCAGCACATATACTAAAATTGGAACAATACAGAGATTAGCATGGCCCCTGCACAAGGATTAAAAAATAAAATAGGGCCGGGCGCGGTGGCTCAAGTCTGTAATCCCAGCACTCTGGGAGGCCGAGGTGGGTGGATCACGAGGTCAAGAGATCGAGACCATCCTGGTCAACATGGTGAAACCCCGTCTCTACTAAAAATACAAAAAATTAGCTGGGCATGGTGGCGCGTGCCTGTAATCCCAGCTACTCAGGAAGCTGAGGCAGGAGAACTGCCTGAACCCAGGACGCGGAGGTTGCGGTGAGCCGAGATCGCGCCATTGCACTCCAGCCTGGGCAACAAGAGTGAAACACTCCGTCTCAAAAATAAAAATAAAAAAAATAAAATAAATAAATAAATAAATAAAATAAAATAAATTCATTTTAAAAAATAGAGATAAAGAAGGACTCTGTATAAAAGTAATGGCAACATAAGAAATGATCAACAGATTTGAATATCTAAAACCTAAGGAATTTTATGTCAAAATTTATCTAAAATACAATTTAAAGGCAAACTGGTGCTACTCTTTGTTTACTGAATACAATTAGTAAATTCAGAACACAAAAATACAAGGGAAAAAGTAGAGAGATTTTCCTGAATTAACTGTGAAAGAGTAAGGAATGCATCTATCCTAGAGAAAGAGAACACAATAGCAGAATTAGCCTCACCTGTGAGCACAGCAAGGGCTGGGAAGCACTAGGCAGACAATAGCTAGACCAGGCAGTTGTAGGGGAAACTGAGAATAGCGAACATTCCAAGATTGCTCTTTTTTTTTTTTTTTTTTTTTTTTTTTTTTGAGACGGAGTTTCGCTTGTTACCCAGGCTGGAGTGCAGTGGCACGATCTCGGCTCACCGCAACCTCCGCCTCCTGGGTTCAGGCAATTCTCCTGCCTCAGCCTCCTGAGTAGCTGGAATTACAGGCACGTGCCACCATGCCCAGCTGATTTTTTGTATTTTTAGTAGAGACGGGGTTTCACCATGTTGACCAGGATGGTCTTGATCTCTCGACCTCGTGATCCACCCGCCTCGGCCTCCCAAAGTGCTGGGATTACAGGCTTGAGCCACCGCGCCCGGCCAAGATTGCTCTTAAGATCATCCCATGGGCCGGGCGCGGTGGCTCACGCCTGTAATCCCAGCACTTTGGGAGGCCGAGGCGGGTGGATCAGGAGGTCGAGAGATCAAGACCATGCTGGTCAACATGGTGAAACCCCGTCTCTACTAAAAATACAAAAAATCAGCTGGGCATGGTGGCATGTGCCTGTGATCCCAGCTACTCAGGAGGCTGAGGCAGGAGAATTGCCTGAACCCAGGAGGCGGAGGTTGCGGTGAGCTGAGATCGCGCCATTGCACTCCAGCCTGGATAACGAGCAAAACTCCATCTCAAAAAAAAAAAAAAAAAAAAAAGATTATCCCATAGATGTCTCACCTTCTAAGCTTAGTTTATATAAATAGTAAAGCATGAAATCGAAACCTCAAAAATGAGACCCAAACACTGGGCCTAAAATAGTTAATTCCAGGAACACGTCCCTGAGAATTCCGGTATGAAAGACATATAGAACCCAGATGACCATGACCACCACCAAGATAACTTTCCTGCCTGTCACTAGATATCCTGGAGAGACGTTTCTCTCACTTCTCTGAGAAAGGGTCTCACTGTGAGCCTCAAAAACACACAAGATAGAGGGCCAAGACAGGATGTAGGCTTTGCTCTCTGGGAATAGGAATCTTGACTTCCTTAGAAAAACACCAGAACTCGCCAGGCACAGTGACTCACACCTGTAATCCCAGCATTTTTGGGAGGCCAAGGGAAGCACTCACTTGAGGTCAGAAATTCAAGACCAGCCTGGCCAATATAGTGAAACCCCATCTCAACTAAAAATACAAAAATTAGCCAGGTGTGGTGACACGTGCTACTCAGAAGGGTGAGGTGGGAGAATCACTTGAACCTAGGAATCGGAGGTTGCAATGAGTCAAGATAGTGCCACTGCACTCCAGCCTGGGCGACAGAGTTAGAATTTGTCTCAAAAATTAAAAAAAGGAAAAACACCAGAACACCAGCTCTGTTTATACCTGCAGGTAGAAGGCAGCAAATTCTCAAGCCAACAAGAAGCAGGCCCCTTCCTGTCCTGAGATCAATAGGCCAGAAAGAAACTCCACAATCCGGTTGGTCAAAGAATGACATGTGCTATAGTTTGAGAAAGATCTCTGCTGTTGGTTTATTGGCTTTGATCTCTAAATGATTAACCCAACTTTAAATGAGAGGAAGGGAGTTTTGGCCAAGGATCCCTGATCCTTTCCAGGGAGCTTTTAATTTCTCTAAAGCATACAAAGTACCATGACGAGGAAGGAGTACAGTGCTGACCAGAGCCCAACAACTGACTAAGAGGAATTAGAATGAAGCCCACTCCAAGAAGATAATGGTGTTCTGCACTCTATCAAGTTTATCTGGGCCAAGGTTTATGGACGTTTGCAAGCAGCTATGAGCACTGACAATAGAAGTATTCACACAGACTATCACTGACCAAGAATGCTATTACTGGGACTTATAAAACAAGCAAAGATTTTATATCTTTTTACCAGCTAATAGCAGGCTTGTTATGTTCTCTGACAGATATCCTACCAATACATTCAGGCTCCTTTTTGGCTCTAGTCTCTTGTGCTTTTACATTTTAAAAAAATCTGTAAGCTGGCCGGGTTTGGTGACTCATGCCTGTAATCCCAGCACTTTGGGAGGCTGAGGCAGGTGGATCAAGTGAGGTCAGGAGTTCAAGACCAGCTTGGTCAACATGGTGAAACCCCATCTCTACTACAAATACAAGAATTAGCTGGGCGTGATGACACACGCCTATAGTCCCCACTACTTGGGAAGCTGAGGCAGGAGAATTGCTTGAACCTGGGAGGTGGAGGTTGCAGTGACCCAAGATCACATAACTGCACTCCAGCCTGGGCGACAGAGCAAGACTCCATCTCAAAACAAAAAACAAAAAACAAAAACAACAAAAAAAAACAATCTGTAAGCTGGTATAGCAAAAGGTTCTTGACTTCTATGATTTCTATTCTAGAATCCAATAATGTGTTGTTCTGTACTACCAGGCTCAGTGGCTCACGCCTATAATCCCAGCACTTTGGGAGGCCGAGGCAAGCAGATCGCTTGAGTCCAAGACTTCAAGACCAGCCCAGGCAACACGGCAAAACCCCATCTCTAAGAAAATACAAAAAGTAGCTGGGTGTAGTGGCACATGCCTATAGTCCCAGCTATGCAGGAGGCTGATGAGGGGGGAGGATTGCTTTAGCCTGGGAGGTTGAGGCTACAGTAAGGTATGATGATACAACTGCATTCTGGCCTGGGCAACAGAATGAGACCCTGCCTTAAAAAAAAAAAAAAAAAAAAAAAAAAAACATAATATTTGTCCTCAGGAAAGGGAGTCAGGAGAGATTTTAAAGACTTACTGTGGGACCAGTATTTGGAGGCGATGATTCCTCTGTACACACAGACAAAACAGAGAGGGAAGGCATCTCTGTGCCACTGTCCAAGTTCAAAGCTGAAAGCCCAAGAGTGTGATGTCCGTTGAGCTCACTGGCACTGCTTTGGGTGGAAGGCTTTAGGGAATTCTGGAACGTGCCATTGCGGAGGCAGGATGTGCTATGGAAAGTGCTCGCCAGCTTGGCTGTCTTCTGATTGCTGTCATCAGAGTCAAGTTTGGGGAAAGACAGGGATTTGATATTGCTTACTGCAGGTATAGGGGGGAGGGACACTTTGGAAGACAGTGACATCTTTTCACAGTTGCCCAACTGTGGTAAGGTTATAAAGCCATTGGGTTTATGAAGAGGCTTGAAATCTAGGGTCGCCCGTTCCAAGGATGCCAGGACCTCCTCATCCTGTAACACTGACCCAGAGCCTCCCCTGGGCAAGTTATTGTCCAATAACTGAGCCATAATGGGTCCAGTGGTTCCTACCAGAATATTTCTCAGCTCTTCTTTCTCATCAATAGTTTTTAACTCCAGATTATCAAATGGGTCTTCTTCACACTCAAAGTCAGCAAGATTGAAATCTGCCTTTATGTGTGGTGGGCTGAGAACTTTCTGTTTCGTGGCACTACTGCTGACCCGAGTTGGAGTGAGGATGCTGTTGTGCTGCAAGCTGGCAAGGATGGGGTTAATAGGAGGTGGCATTGTGGCTGTACTATGAGTCTTAGAGAAGCTCATTTTGCTATCACCCTCTGGGCCACTCTTAGAATTCACTTTAGCTTCTGCTTCTGCAATTTTGAGCTCCGCTTCCCGCTTGGCTTCTCGGATTTTCTTAATCTCTTCAGCCCACTCAATGGTTTTCTTTTCCAAGGAGAAGTCATACTGCAAAGATATAGCAAAGGAAGAGGGTGTGAACCCAGGTGGCCATCCTTCCCCTACCCAATGCACTCCTTCCTCATTCCTGTTGCGAGAGGAAAACCGGACAAGGCAGCATTTAAAACATGTGGGATGATCCCCACTAAAAAGAGTAAGGCTCCCAATGTCCTTATAAGATTTAACCAAACTATGTTCCCAGATTACTTGTAGAAATTAATTAGAAAGAACTCCTATAACCTCTAACCCAACATACCAGGCCAAATGTACCTTGCTACTTCCCTTCTCTCTCTCTCAGGCCATTTCCCTTCCTAGGCAGAGAGCTCAGTTACTTCCTCTATGAAGCTTTCCTGATGGCCCACTCCTTCCTTGTAACTCTTACAGCATTTGTCTCTATCAGTCATTTGATGCTGAGCACATGTGACCACATGTAGCTTTCATCTTTAACTTCCAAAAAGTATCACAAGCCTCTTGTGGGCAGAAATCTGGCAACAGACCCTCCTTGGGTCTCTATTATGTAGCGAAACGTCCTAAACAAATCACAGGCCAGGTAATGATAGCCTTGAACATTTAAGAATACCTGTAAGGTGCCATGCATGATTCTAAATGCTTTTTATGTATTGACTCTCCAGATTTTCTAAATAATCCTTTAAAGTAACGACTGTTATCCCTACTTAACAGGGTCTACAACCAAGCATAAAGCTGGAAGGTAACAGAAGAAGC